TTAATCAGTCCTGCCACCAGGTGTTCATCATTTCCTCATCCCTCTGTTTGTATATACTGTATAGTGGTCTTTCATTCCACACCCTCACTGACTCATTGTTTGGTTTCACTCAACTGTTATGTTTCTCCTTAGTTGTTCTCGTTGTCTAGTTTTTTTGCTTGCTTTACAGCCTTTTGTTTTATTTTTGTAAATTAAATATTTTTCTTACAAAAACTCTTACCTCGGTCCGGATTTGGGTTCTTCTCCACATTCAAAACGTAACAGATGGATGGTATGTTTGGAAGGCAGACTCATGGCGCTCCAGCAGATGAGGTGGTTGGTATCTGGATCCTCCACCAGTGTCCACAGCTTGGTGAGCAAGGCGGGAACATTGCTGGCATAGCTGCCATCGACACCCACAGCGTCTGGAGACTCCTGCATGCCGACTCTGGCTCCTGTCCACCTCAGCAAACCAAACGCCTGTGAGTATGTGTGTTTACACGACTAGTCCATGTCTGAGAAAATCCACTTCTGATGTTCCATCACTGATAATCCCAGGTTTGTCTCTTTGTTTCCATCTCAGGTGGTCAAACTGTCTCTGTGTGTCCTCACAGGTGATTCTTCTTTGTGTCTTTACAAAAGTTTTTACCTTTAGCAGTCCTCTCTTTGTTCTTGTCATCCAAATAATGTGTTCACAGAAGGTCCATGTCAACACGCACGCACACACAATATAACCCACCATCAACCCCCGGCCTCCCAGAACMAAACCCCGTCCACACAATGAGGTCCAATAATGGACCTCTGTCCCATCAAAGAGCTGCTGGCTGAGCTCAGAGTGACTGAAAAGATATGTCATGTTTTATTTCTGCAAATGACTGAAACTGTTTTTGTCCTGTTAGAATTTATCAGAAAACATCAAAACGTAATCTGAACTCTTCTGATTAATCCTGACTTTAGTTACTCTTCAACCATGAGATTTAAAAAAGCAAGCATCTAATCAAAACTAAAATAATCAGATTTTTTTAACTTGTTTTGTTTCCTCTTTTAAATTCAGAACTTTACATTATTACCCAACAAAGTCAGTCACACAGGAAGTCCAGGGTCTTCATGCATTTCAGGCCTGCAGAGATTTAAACCTTTAGTTAAAATAAAAACAGCTGTAGGTTCAGTCAAACTAAACAACTGATATTTTCTGACTAAATTAATAAAATGTTGAAATTCAAACATGAAAGTTTTATTAAAACACACAAATAAGACGTGATTATTTGTACTTATATATAATAATATTTTTAAAAGCAAGACTGAAGTCCAGGTGGAGCTAATATATGCTGACCATCAGGTTCCTTAGTTTTTAGTATTTCACATAGAGAAATATTTTGACAGTATTTTCTGTACTATTACCAGCAGACGACTACAAAATACAAACTTTACACTCAAACTGTGATTTTTACCATCATGTGGGCAACAGTTTATCTTTGTAATCTCTTTATCTCTTTATAACTAATAAGACTTTGGAAGAGACTCAAACATTTTTTTAGTCATCATAAAAATCAAAGTTATCAGTGCAAATAAAACTGAATGTTTAGATTTCACTGCATTTTTGTGCACCTGGCTTCAAAAACTGTACATTAAAATTTTCTTACAAACATTTTTTATTCATAAATTAAAATTGAACACAACTCACTAATGTGAAATATTTTATTTAACTGCACATTTTCATGGCACTGCTGAAGAGAAACTAGTGCCTTAAAACTCTGCCAAATGTAAACACTGTAAATCATTTATATTTTCTGCTGACTCACTAAAGGTTGATAAGGTTCATCTGGGTATTGATATATCAGAGGTTCACTGACATCTTATTTAACTGCTTACGTTTTCCTGACATTGTGCCTTAAATAACTCTGCAAATTAAAAACATTGACAAACAGAACCACTACCTGCTGGCTTATCTCTAAAGATAAAGTTCATTCTGACCTGTAATCCTGGGTAAAGATTAACTCTGTCCTCTGTTTTGTTGACATTTGAATCAATTTAAATTGCTAAATAACATTTATCATTTTATGTTGAAATGATACAGTATATTAAAAATTATATTCTCATAGTCCTTCAGGGGGTTCTTTGAGGCCGGGTGCAAGAAATCCCCCAGTACCGGCAGGATGGGGGATCCTGGTGGGAAGTTCTTGGGTCTCCGAGCTTTAAGTTGAAAGAGGATGAAGCAGAAACAGAACCACAGCAGAACGATGGAGACAAACATGGTGCTGGACTGGTCTGGTCTCTGGTGGCTCTGGTCCTGCGCTTTGATTCTGGGGTGGATCCTCAACAGCTGACCCCGGACATGAGACTGTCAGGGGTCAGAGATAAGTGACATGAGATTGTCCACGGTCAAAGATAACTGACATGAGGCTGTCCACGATCAGAGATAACTGACATGAGACTGTCCACCGTCAGAGATAACTGGCATGTGACTTTCCACAGTGAGAGATAACTGACACGAGACTGTCCACGGTCATAGATAACTGACACGAGACTGTCCACGGTCAGAGTTAACTGACACGAGACTGTCCACGGTCAGAGTTAACTGACACGAGACTGTCCACGGTCAGAGTTAACTGACACGAGACTGTCCACTATTAGAGATAACTGACATGAGACTGTCCAGTCAAAGATAACTGGCATGAGCCTGTCCACAGTCAAATATAACTGACATTGGACTTTTCACGGTTAAAGACACAGTAACTGACAATAAACTGTCCACTGTCACTGATAACGGACATGAGACTGTCCACCATCAAAGGTAACTGACACTAGACTGTCCATGGTCAGAGATAACTGACATGAGAATGTACAGTACATTGTCAGCGATAACTGACATGAGACTGTCCACTGTCAAAGATAACTTACGTGAGACTGTCCACAGTCAAAGATATTGTCCACGGTCAAAGGTAATTTAGGTGAGACTGTCCACGGTCAAAGATAACTGAAATGAGACCGTTCACAGTCAGAGATACACTCACCGGCCTTTTTATTAGGTACACCTCGCTAGTAACGGGTTGGACCCCCTTTTGCCTTCAGAACTGCCTCAATTCTTTGTGGCATAGATTCAACAAGGTGCTGGAAGCATTCCTCAGAGATTTTGGTCCATAATGACATGATGGCATCACACAGTTGCCGCAGATTTGTCGGCTGCACATCCATGATGCGAATCTCCCRTTCCACCACATCCCAAAGATGCTCTATTGGATTGAGATCTGGTGACTGTGGAGTACATTTGAGTACAGTGAACTCATTGTCATGTTCAAGAAACCAGTCTGAGATTATTCCAGCTTTATGACATGGCGCATTATCCTGCTGAAAGTAGCCATCAGATGTTGGTACACTATGGTCATAAAGGGATGGACATGGTCATCAACAATACTCAGGTAGGCTGTGGTG